GTAAAGGTTTCCTGATTGATTACGGATCGGCATCCTGTGTCATTCTTGGGGCGGCTGCTGGGAGCTTACAATTATTATTATTATTATTCCATTATTTAACTATACTGTTATTATTACATTATTTAATTATATTATTACTGTTATTATTACATATATATTATTTTACTCTATTATTATATTTATTAGTTTACTCTCTTTATTATTATTGGAAGGATACATAAGCACATTTACACTGAAGAAGGTTAGAATAATGGTTTAATCAGAGTTGGAAAGTCTTATCTTAAATTAAAGTTTTATGTAAATATTCAACATTAATTTAACCTCCTGATGCCTCCATTAATGTAATTTTGTTGGTATCTATTTTTATTTTGAAATTTACCAGTAGCGGCTGCATTTCCCACCCTCGGCTTATACTCAAGTCAATACGTTCCCCAGTTTTTTTGTGGCAAAATTAGGTGCCTCGGCTAATATTCGGGCTGGCTTATACCCGAGTATATGTGGGTACTTTATTTTTATCCTGCCTTTCTCCCTATAAGGGACGCAAGAAAGCTCCTAATGGCATGACACAATAAAACAGAATTTAAAAACAAGGTGAAAGCTTCCGTAAGTTGTCCCACTCACAAGCAGCATCAAACTCTCCTCGCCACTGGTCCGTAGTGAGACGGTCCTCCACTTCCACCTCTAAGAGGTTCCCTTCCACCGTCATCCGGACAATGTGGTCAACGCCACGGAAAATATAGTCGGCTTGCAGTCCGTGGAGCTTCGCCATAGTGGAGGACCCGAGAGGGGAAGGACACCGACTTGGAATGTCCACCTTCTCCTTGTAGTTGTCACTTTGGGATGAAAACGAAACAGAGAAAGAGAATGAGAACAGGCATGGATAAAATGGCCCTTCCAACACAATCAAAGAATTCCTGACAAATGGCTGTCCAGTCTCTGTGGGATCACAGAATCTCAGAGTTGGAAGAGACCCCAATGGCCAGGAAGGGCACCATCAAAGCCCTCCCAACAGATGGCAACCCAGCTTGTCATAGAATCCTAGTGTTACAAGAAACGTCAAAGGCTATCCAGTTCAATACCATTCTTCCAAGCAGGGAAACACAATCAAAGCATTCCCGATAGATAGCCATCCAGCTCCTTAACTCTGTTGTTCTCCTAAACTCTGAAAATGCAACAGGTCGCTCCATAAACTTTTCTGAGAGTTCCCATTGCTGAATAACTTTTGCCTGGGCATTTTTCATAGGACAGAATAATAAAATCCTGGAGTTGGTAGAGACCCCCCCCCCCCACACACACACACCAGCTCCATTCAGTTCAACCCCATTCTTCCATGCAAGAGGACACAATCCGATCCCTCCGGACAGATGGCCATCCAGCCTCTGCTTAAAAATCTCCAGAGAAGGAGAATCCATTGGACTCCAGGCAGTCTGTTTTCCCTTAGAAATGGAAGAGACCCCCAAGGGCTATCCACTCCAACCTTCTGTGTGTATATGTGTGTGTATATATATCTATATCAAATCTGCATCTATCTGTCTGTCTGTCTGTCTGTCTGTCTGTCTATCTATCTATCTATCCATCAATCAATCAATCAATCAATCAATCAAAGAATCCTAGAGTTGGAAGAGATCCCAAGGGCTATCTAGTCCAACCTTCTGTGTGTATATGTGTGTGTAAATCTATATATCAGTCATTCATCCGATAGCGAATGGTGATACTTGTTTTTATTAATTATAAGCCAAATGTGATGTTATTAATTGCTAATTGTTGTACTTCATCATTCTACTTTCACTTGACTTAGCCGATGGTTTGTTGACCGAAATAAAGGCTACTGACTGACTGACTATATATATCTATATCAAATCTGCTTCTATTTATCTATCTATCTATCTATCTATCTATCTATCTATCTATCTATGAGACCCCAAGGGCTACCCAGTAAAACCTTTTGTGTATATATCTCTTTATGATATCCCAAACCATCCATCTATGTTATCAATCACAGAATCCCAGAGTTGGAAGAGACCCCAAGGGCTATCCACTCCAACCTTCTGTGTGTATGTGTGTGTGCATATATCTCTATCAAATCTGCTTCTGTTTGTCTGTCTGTCTGTCCGTCCATCCATCAAAGAATCCTATTATTATTATTATTATTATTATTATTATTATTATTATTATATAATCCTAGAGTTGGAAGAGACCCCATGGGCTATCCAGTTCAACCTGTGTGTATATGTGTGTGTATATATATATCTATATTAAATCTGCATCTATCTATCTATCTATCTATCTATCTATCTATCTATCTATCTAAGAATCCTAGAGTTGGAAGAGACCCCAAGGGCTACCTAGTAAAACCTTCTGGGTTCTCTTTATGATATCCCAATCCATCCATCCATCCATCCATCTAATCAATCAATCAATCAATCAATCAATCAATTAATTACAGAATCCTAGAGTTGGAAGAGACCCCAAGGGCTATCCAGTTCAACCTTCTGTGTATATATCTCTATATCATATCCCAACCCATCCATCTATCTTATCAATCAATCAATCAATCAATCAATCAATTGTAGAATCCTGGAGTTGGAAGAGACCCCAAGGCAATCTGGTTCAACCTTCTGTGTATATATCTCTATATTTATTTATTTGCTGTATTTGTATGCTGCCTTTCTCAGCCTGTAGGCAACTCAAGGCGGTTAACAGGGCAAAATTCAATGCTTACAATGTCATAAATACAATTAAAAACATAACAAATAATAAAAACTAAACAAATCAATAAAAGATAAATTCATAGTGTCCGGACTCTGGTCGTTCCATTTTCCTGTGTTAGTTACTCTGCATTTGCAAACACTTGTTCAAAAAGCCACTTTTTTCCAGAATGTTAAAAGGGAGGGGGCCAAACTAATATCTATACGGAGGGCATTCCACAGCTGAGGGGCCACCACCGAGAAGGCTCTGTCTCTTGTTTCTGTGAAACCTACTTGTGACAAAGGCGGTAATGAGAGCAGGGCTCCCCAGACGATCTTAAGGTCCTGGATGGTTCATAAGGAGAGATGCATTCAGACATGTAAGTTGGGCCAGAACCGTTTAGCGCTTTATAAAGCCAGCACTTTGAACTGAATATGATATTATCCATCTATCCATCCATTCATAGCTATCTAGAATCCTAGAGTTGGAAGTGACCCCAAGGGCTATCCAGTCCAACATTCAGTGTATATGTCTCTATATCATATCCCTATGCATCTATCTATTCATCCATCCATCATAGAACTAGAGCCATCCAGTCCAACCTCATTCTAACATGCAGGAAGACACAATCCGATCCCTCCCGACAGATGGCCATCCAGCCTCTGCTTCAAAACTCCAGGGAAGGAGGATCAATTGGATTCCAAGGCAGTCTGTATTCCATTAGAGTTGGAAGGCATTCCTAAAATGCCATTCAGTCCAACCTCATTCTAGCATGCAGGAAGACACAATCTGATCCCTCCCGACAGATGGCCATCCAGCCTCTGATCAAAAACCATTGGACTCCAAGGCAGTCTGTATTTCATTAGAGTTGGAAGGCATTCCCAAAATGCCATTCAGTCCAACCCCATTCTAACATGCAGGAAGACACAATCTGATCCCTCCCGACAGATGGCCATCCGGTCTCTGCTTAAAAACCTCCAGAGCAGAATTCATTGGACTCCAAGGCAGTCTGTATTCCATTAGAGTTGGAAGGCATCCCCAAAATGCCATCCAGTCCAACCCCATTCTAACATGCAGGAAGACACAATCCGATCGCTCCCGACAGATGGCCATCCAGCCTCTGATCAAAAACCTCCAAGGAAGGAGGACCCACTGAACTCCAAGGCAATCTATATTCAATTAGAAGGGATCCTCAAAATGCCATTCTAATATGCAAGAAGACACAATCTGATCCCTCCCGACAGATGGCCATCTGGCTTCTGGTTCAAAGGCTCCACATTATTCCCCAGGAGGGGATAATGGGAGATATAGTCTTCCAGGCAACCCAGCTGGAGCTTTTCCTTAGGGGGGCGTCACTATAGCAACAGAGAAAAGAGACCCACCTGCACTGCCTCTTACCTGCCCGCCGTCCCACCTCAACTGCCGCCTCGACTGAGAAGTTTCTCCCTTCCGGCGCTCCCATTGGCTGCCCCCTCAACCGCTTCCACGCTGCTATTGGGCCGAGTCAACGCCAATCAACTAGTTCCTTTCTGCGAGAGGACAACAGAGGTGTCACTCACTCGATTGCCACGCCTCCTCCCGGCCCGGCGCAGGTTGTCCTAGCCGAGGATGCTAAACGTGCGCTGATTGGTTGATAATCAAGTTCGGAAGCCCGCCCACGCGTTCGTTCCGGCTATTGGTGCTCACGCTTGTCAATCCTTCATGGAGCATAGCCGCCGCTCTTTATTGCCCTCTAGAGGCGGCTGTGTGCCTAGCACTGAATGCACTATTCCTATTTAATCCAGGTTGCATCTTTGCAAGTGGAGGATGCAGGAGGAAGAGCATCCCTTTCTGGCAGGTATGGGCCCACAACTCTATTGGGAGAAGTAGAGCATTTGGGTTGTGCTTGTCCTAAGAGAGAGAGAGAGGGGACAATATTGGCTGGGCTCCATCCCCTCCCATTCATACCCAGGCAACACACAATGTATCCAGTCCTTAGTTAGACTTTATCATTTTGCGCAACTTGATACCATTCATTCCTGTTTGCCATTGAGATCCCTCCAAGCGACTCGTCGGCATGGGATGTCCCATTTATGGTCATTTCCATAGCTAGGATACATCTCGGTTTGCTGTTTATGTCTAGTCCCAAAGCAAAGTATTGGAAAATTAAGAAAGATCCGAATGCAAAGTGAACACTTACGTAGATAGATAATATAATATTATTGTATATACATAATATCCAAATGCAAAGTGAACACTTACTTAGATAATATAATATAATATATTGTATATACATCATATCCAAAAGCAAAGTGAACACTTGCTTAGATAATATAATATAATATTATTGTATATACATAATATCCAAATGCAAAGTGAACACTTACTTAGATAATATAATATAATATAATATTGTATATACATAATATCCAAATGCAAAGTGAACCCTTACTTGTCCACTGAGTCCAATAGCAGCAACATATTGAGACCAGTGTGCATTCGTATACACAATTGTGCATTTAGAGAGAGAGATAATATAATATAATGTATATACATAATATCCAAATGCAAAGTGAACCCTTACTTGTCCACTGAGTCCAATAGCAGCAATATATTGAGACCAGTGTGCATTCATATACACAAGTGTGCATTTACATAGATATATAATATAATATAATACATTGTATATACATAATATCCAAATGCAAAGTGAACACTTACTTGTCCACTGAGTCCAATAGCAGCAACATATTGAGACCAGTGTGCATTCATATACACAAGTGTGCATTTACATAGATATATAATATAATATAATATAATACATTGTATATACATAATATCCGAATGCAAAGTGAACACTTACTTGTCCACTGAGTCCAATAGCAGCAACATATTGAGACCAGTGTGCATTCATATACACAAGTGTGCATTTATATAGATAATAATATAATATATTGTATATACATATATATACATATATATACATATAATATCTGAATGCAAAGTGAACAATTACTTGTCCACTGAGTTCAGCAGCAGTAATATATTGAGAAAATGTATATTCCTATACACAAGCGTGCATTTAGATAGATAGAAAATATAATATAATATATACATATAATATCCGAATGCAAAGTGAACACTTACTTGTCCACTGAATCCAATAGCAGCAACATATTGAGACCAGTGTACATTCATACACAAGTGTCCATTTAGATAGTTAGATAGATAATATAATATAATATATTGTATATACATATAATATCTGAATGCAAAGTGAACACATACTTGTCTACTGAGTCCAATAGCAGCAACAAATTGAGACCAGTGTGCATTCATATACACAAGTGTGCATTTAGAGAGATAGATAATATAATATAATATATTGTATTGTATTGTATATACATATAATATCTGAATGCAAAATGAACACTTGTTCCCTGAGTCCAATAGCAGCAACATATTGGGACCAGTGTACATTCGTATACACAAGTGTGCATTTAGATAGATAGATAGATAATATAATATAATATATTGTATATACATATATTTATAATATTATAATGTAATACAATATAATAATAATAATAATAATAATGAAATATTATAATTATTTATTTTATACACGCGTTGCTGTGGGCCAGTCTGGTGATCTAGAAAATAAAGTAATGAGAAAGTTTTGGTTTCTAATATACGTTATTTCTTTCTGCTTGTGGGTAAACAGTATTTTTTGCTGTTTCTTTGTCAGTGTTGATGTGGAGATTGTCTGGTTTGCCCACTCTGGAACATGGAACATATAATTGTCCTTCTTTAGGGGTCCTTTCAAATCTATGATACTATATCTGTCTGTGAATAATATCTATCTATATTTTAATTGTAGGTGAACCATAAATCCCAGTAACTACAACTCCCAAATGTCAAGGTCTATTTCCCCCAAACTCCATCTGTGTCCATATTTGGGCATATGGAATATCCGTGTCAAGTTTGGTCCAGATTCATCATTGTTTGAGTCCACAGATTGGTAAATGCTAGATAAACGACATTTCTGGTTGCTTGAGAGTTATTATTACAAATAGGCCCAACTAGTATTGTCGAAGGCTTTTGTGGCCGGAATCACTAGGCTGTTGTGCGTTTTCTGGGCTGTCTGGCCATGTTCCAGAAGCATTCTCTCCTGATGTTTCGCTTGCATCTATGGCAGGCATCCTCAGAGGTTATGAGGTGTGTTGGAAACTAGGCAAATGGGGATTATATATCTGTGGAATAATGTCATTGGTGGGAGAAAGAACTCCTGTCTGTTTCAGGTAGGTGTGAATGTTTCCATGGGCTAGCTTGATTAGTGTTTAATGGCCTAGCAGTTTCAAGGTCTGGCTTCTTACTGCCAGCGTGAATCCTTTGTTTCAGAGGTGATTAGCTATCCCTGATAAATACTGTAATAAATAAATACTATACACCTTTCCATCCTTGAAAGACTTAAGACTTCAGATTTCTTTATCAATGAAATACCATCTTTGGCTTGCTTTTGTGTAATCCAGTGGTTCTCATCCTGAGGTCCCCAGATGTTTTTGGCCTACAACTCCCAGAAATCCCAGCCAGTTTACCAGCTGTTAGGATTTCTGGGAGTTGAAGGCCAAAAACATCTGGGGACCCCAGGTTGAGAACCACTGGTGTAATCGAACCTCAGCTGTGATATCAGAACCTTGCATTTGACACTTAGGCAGGAAGGAAAAAAAATGAAAGGCACAGATATGGAATGAGTGACACTTGCCTTGAAAAGAGTTGATGCAAAAAGGCCCTAGGAGCATTTGTGGACCACGTTGCCTTCCCGCAGATGCGGTACCTATTGATCTACTCACATTTGCATGTTTTCGAACTGCTAGGTGGGCAGAAGCTGGGGCTAACAGTGGGAGCTCACCCCGCTCCCCTGGATTCAAACCGCCAACCTTTCTGCCAGCAAGTTCAGCAGTTCAGTGGTTTAGCCCACTGCACCACCTGTAATTGCATATGTTTACCCTAATTGTATGCTTGCAAAATACTGCAGCGGTGCAATTGCGCACGTACAGTAAAACTTACATTTAAGAAAACTTCGCGGCCACCATGACGTCTTCTCTTTCCAGACACTTGGAATGGAATAACTTCTCCCTGCTTAGGTTGAAACACCAGCTTAAAAGGCCAATGTAATTCTAGGCTGCAACAATAGGATAGTGCTGAGATCAAGGGAAGTTATAGTTCTCCTATTCTTGTTTGGGAATAACCCTGTGTTCAATTGTGGGCATCACAATTCCAAAAGGATATGGACAAAAATGGAAGATGTCTAGAAAAGGGACACTAAAATGGCCCAGGGTCTAGGAGTCAAGCCCTATGACAGTGGTCCTCAACCTACCTAATGCTGCGACCCCTTAATACAGTTCCTCATGTTGTGTTGACCCCCAACCATAACATTATTTTCGTTGCTACTTCATAACTGTAATTTTGTTACTGTTATGAATAGTCATGTACATATCTGATAAGCAAGATGTATTTTCATTCACTGGACCAAATTTGGCACAAAGACCCATTACGCTGGACCATTCACTGGACCAAATTTTGACCCAAATTTGAATACTGGTGGGATTGGGGGGGGGGGGGATTGATTTTGTCATTTGGGAGTTGTAGTTCTTGGGATTTATAGTTCACCTACAATCATAGAGCATTTTGAACTCCAGCAACGATGGAATTGGACCAAACTTGGCACATAGAACTCCCATGACCAACAGAAAATACTGCAAGGGTTTGGTGGTCATTGACCTTGAGTTTTGGAGTTGTAGTTCACTTACATTCAGAGAGCATTGTGGACTCAAATAATGATGAATCTGGACCAAACTTGGCACGAATACTCAATATGCCCAAATGTGAACACTTGTGAAGTTTGGGGAAAATAGACCTTGGCATCTGGGAGTTGTAGTTGCTGGGATTTATAGTTCACTTACAATCAAAGGGCATTCTGAGCTCCACCAATGATGGAATTGAACCAAACTTGGCACACAGAACTCCCATGACCAGCAGAAAATACTGGAAGAGTTTGGTGGGCATTGACCTTGAGTTTGGGAGTTGTAGTTCACCTACATCCAGAGAGCACTGTGGACTCAAATAATGATGAATATGGTCCAAACTTTGCATGGATACTCAATATGCCCAAATGTGAACACTTGTGAAGTTTGGGGAAATAGACCTTGGCATCTGGGAGTTCTGGATCTGGACCAAACTTGGCACAAATACTCAATATGCCCAAATGTGAACCCTGGTGGAGTTTGGGGAAAATAAACCTTGATATTTGGGAATTGTGGATCTGGACCAAACTTGGAACAAATACTCAATACGCCCAAATGTGTACACTGATGGAGTTTGGGTTAAATAAACCTTGACATTTGGGAGTTACAGTTGCTGGGATTTATAGTTCACCTACAATCGAAGAGCATTCTGAACTCCACCAACGATGGAATTGAACCAATCTTGGCACACAGAACTCGAATGACAAACAGAAAATCCTGGAAGGGATTTTGGAGTTGTAGTTCACCTACATCCAGAGAGCACTGTGGACTCAAACCATGTTGGATCTGGACTAAACTTGATATGAATACTCAATATGCCCAAATGTGAACGCTGGTGGAGCTGGACCAAGTTTGGTCCAGATCCAGCATGGTTTGAGTCCACAGTGCTCTCTGGATATAGGTGAACTACAACTCCAAAATCCCTTCCAGGATTTTCTGTTTGTCATTCGAGTTCTGGGTGCCAAGATTGGTTCAGTTCCATTGTTGTGGAGTTCAGAATGCTCTTTGGTTCCTGACCCTCAGGTTGGGAAATACTGCTGTAACTGTCGAAGGCTTTCATGGCTGGAATCACTGGGTTGTTGTAGGTTTTTTGGGCTGTATGGCCATGTTCTCGAAGCATTCTCTCCTGACGTTTTGCCTCCATCTGTGACAAGCATCCTCAGAGGTTGTGAGGTTTGTGGAAACTAGGAAAATTGGGTTTATATATCTGTGGAATAATGTCCAGGGTGGGAGAAAGAACTCTTATCTGTTGGAGATAGCTGTGGATGTTTCAATTGGCCACCTTGATTAGCATTTGATGGCTTGACAATTTTTAGGGGTGGCTTGTTACTGCCTGGGGAAATCCTTTGTTGAGAGGTGATGAAAGGCACTACAGACTACTTCAACTAGAGAAGTCAGCCATAGCAGAGCACCTGAGTAACCAACCTGGACATGGCAGATTATTTGAGAACACAGAAATGCTGGACCACTTTAACAACCACCATGTCAGTCTGAACACAGAGAAGCCATTGAAATCCACAAGCATGTGGACAATTTCAACAGAATGGAGGAAACCATGAAAATGAACAAAATCTCGCTACCAGTAATAAAAAAACTCTAAAATTATAACAGTAAATAAAAAAACAAAACTCAAACATAGGGGAACTCCAGACAAGAAACAATCAGGAATACATAATCACCTCTCAGCAAAGGTTTCCCCCAGGCAGTAACAAGCCACCCCTAAAAAATGTCAGGCCATGAAATGCTAATCAAAGTGGCCAATTGAAACATTCACACCTACCTCCAACAGACAAGGGTTCTTTCTCCCACCCTGGACTTCCCACAGATATATAAACCAAATTTTCCTAGTTTCCAACAGACCTCACAACCTCTGAGGATGCTTGCCACAGATGCAGGCGAAACATCAGGATAGAGTGCACCAGGACTGTGGCGCAGCTGGCTGGGAGTCAGCTGTATTAAGTCACTACTGACCGAAAGGTCATGAGTTCGAAGCCAGCCCGAGTCAGATTGAGCGTCCAACCAACTTGTGTAGCTTGCTGTCGACCTTTGCAGCCCAAAAGACAGTTGCTTCTGTCAAGTAGAAAATTAAGGTACCGCTTATGTGGGGAGGCAAATTTACCTAATTTACGAGGCCATAAAAATCTCCAGCAAGCATGCAAAGAATGAGGAAGTACTTCATCAGTGTCACAAATGGTTGGTGAAGGGACAGCTCCCCCGGTGGCCAAAAATACCCTCAAGAAAAGCTAGAATGTTAAATTGCCTCGGTGTGCCTGCCTATATATGTTGTGCATCTATGGCATTGAATGTTTGCCATGTATATGTACATTGTAATCTGACCTGAGTCCCCAACGGGGTGAGAAGGGCGGAATATAAATACTGTAAATAAATAATAAATAAATGCTTCTAGAACATGGCCATACAGCCCGAAAAACCTACAACAAACCACTGCTGTAACTGATATTTACTGTCCTGAAATACTAGCCGGATGACTCACGAATGGTCCCAAAAGTCATCAAACCATCAGATCATAGTCCCAAATGTCATACGTAGAAAACGGTCCCAAAAGTAATAGAATCGTTGGCTCGTGGTCCCAAAAGTCATAGAACCATGGTTTCACAAGTCAGAATCATGATCCCCAAAGTCATAGAATCATAGAATCAAAGAGTTGGAAGAGACCTCATGGGACATTCAGTCCAACCCCCTGCCAAGAAGCAGGAATATTGCATTCAAATCACCCCTGACAGATGGCCATCCAGCCTCTGTTTAAAAGCTTCCAAAGAAGGAGCCTCCAAAGAATCGTGGTTCCAAAGTCATAGAAAATATGGTCCCAAAAGTTGTGGAATCATAGATCCAAGTCATAAAATCATCCCAAAAGTCATAGAATCATAGAAACATGGCACCAAACATCATAGAATCACAAAGCTAGAAGAAATCACAAAGGCCATCCAGTCCAACGCTATTTCTGACACGCAAAAGCCATATAACACTCTTGTAGGCTTCATGATTACGGGATCCATCCGACAGGTCTTCGGCAAGCATTGGATGTCCAATGATGCTGTTTTATCCAAGTCAAAAATACAACCTGGTTCTCAACCTGTGGATCCCCAGGTGTTTTGGCCTACAACTCCCAAAAATTCCAGCCTGTTTTCCAGCTGATTTCTGGGAGTTGAAGGCCAAAACATCTGGGGAACCACAGGTTGAGAACCATGGTCTTAGATCAGTGGTTCTCAACCTTCCTAATGCCACGACCCCTTAATACGCTTCCTCATGTTATGGTGACCCCCAACCATAAAATTATTTTTGTTGCTACTTCATCACTGTAATTTTGCTGCTGTTATGAATCGTCATGTAAGTATCTGATATGTAGGATGTATTTTCACCCACTGGACCAAATTTGGCACAAAGACCCAATACGCCCAAATTTGAATACTGGTAGGGTTGGAGGGGATTGATTTTGTCATTTGGGAGTTGTAGTTGCTGGGATTTATGGTTCACTGACAATCAAAGAGCATTTTGAACTCCACCAATGATGGAACTGAACCACACTTGGCACACAGAACTCCCATGACCAACAGAAAATGCTAGAAGGATTTGGTGTACATTGACTTTGAGTTTGGGAGTTGTAGTTCACCTACATCCAGAGATCACTGTGGGCTCAAACAATGATGGATCTGGGTTGTTGTAGGTTTTTTCGGGCTATATGGCCATGTTCTAGAGGAATTCTCTCCTGACGTTTCGCCTGCATCTATGGCAAGTATCCTCAGAGGTAGTGAGGGTAATGATGGATCTGAACCAAACTTGACACAAATACTCAATATGCCCAAATGTGAACACTGGTGGGGTTTGGGGAAAATAGAACTTGACATTTAGGAGTTGTAGTTGCTGTGATTTATAGTTCACCTACAATCAAAGAGCATTGTGAACCCCATCAACGTTAGAATTGGGCCAAACTTCCCACGCCCAGAACCCCCATGACCGACAGGAAATACTGTGTTTTCTGACGATCTTTGGCGATCCTTCTGACACCCCCTCGTGACCCCTCCAGGGGTCCCGACCCTCAGGTTGAGAAACGCTGTCTTAGATGGACAAAACAAACAGAGCCACAATGGCTAACTTTCCCTTAAGGGACAAACTCTGGCATTACCTCCTAAGTGAAAAATATGGAAAAACCCAACTTTTCCTTGAAATCCTGTGATGCTAGACACGTGTGGGTTAAATCTAGGGCAAGGAGGGGGGAAATAATAGATGGGAGGGTCCAATGCAAAAGATTTTGGACCCCTCCCCTTATATATAAAGCACAGACTCCGCCCCCAATATGGGGCATTTGGTGTGTGCCCACACATCCTTGCAACATGCTCTCCAGATCAGCCATGCACATGCCACGTTATGCTCCTTCCATGTTCAGGGAATTCGACAGGTGGAAGGACTATCTGAGCCTTGCAAAGGTGGTTACGGAGATCGTCGAAGAACGCAAGAGGGTCCAGTCTCAGAGTTGGGACATGATGGACTGTGACATGCAGCTAGTCCTCAATGAGGACGACACGGAAACGACATCGCAGTGGCTCAACGGAAGCGGATCCAGCAGCAAGAGCTCCAAAGGCAGCGCCAATGGCCAGGCTTCCCAAAACAAGGAGATGTGCAATTTTTGCAAACACAATGGGGAATCCAAGCAGGTCTATTCGTCCCACCGGCTGAAGGGAGCGGACGGTGCCGTGGAATGCCCCATCTTGCGCAAATACACCTGTCCGCTCTGCGGTGCCACCGGCAACAAGGCCCATACGTTGAAATACTGCCCACTGAGCCAAGGGAAGCGGTCGCTGTATCGCAAGTGCGGACGCAACTCGGCTGGACGCAAGGTCAAGAGATAAGAAGGTCAGCAAGGAGTCTTCTTCAGGAGGTTTGAGGAGGAAAAGTAAAAAAGAACATTTCATATCATAGTTTTTCTTTGACTTTGGAAAAGAACATCATTTGATTTTGAGGATCATGAACACTTTTTTTCTGATTTCCTCCCACTTCGTTTCAAGTTTGGAGAATGGAAGCCCAATTCTCTTCTTTGTTTGGAAGAACTACATTTGTGACTCCAGATTTTTTTTAATGTATATAGTTGCCTTATATCACATTTCTAGGTAATTATATCATCTTTCTTTACATATGTAATTGCCTTATGTCATATTTTTATATCATGTTTTATATGTGAAGTTACTTTACATGCTTCTTTTATGTATTTATGTGTGCCTTTGTACATATTTAATTGTTTCATGTTTCTTTTAGTATGGTAATTGCCTATATGTGCAATTGCATCATGTTCCTTTTACGTATATACGTGCTTGATATCATGTCAGGGTTATCATGTGTGTCTCAAGAGGGATGCAGCCTTTGCAGGGAAATATCTATATCTATATCTTCTAAATTGCTACTGTCTGGAATCTCATTTTGTAAACAAAGGAAAAGTTTATATGCTTTTGGAAAGAAAGATACTATTTTTATGTTTATATTTTGGAAAGGGAAAGAATTGTTTTTTTATTGTGGTCTGTTTGCAAGTTGTTCTGAAGTTGGGACTGTTGAGTTTAATAAACAGAGTTTACATTTTTTGCATCAAAACTGTTGATGTTTTGCTTCAATGAGATTGAATTTTCCTTAATTTGTTGCCTATAATTGGCTGGTTATAAGCCTTATCTGAAAGGAGTTCCTCGTAAATTGAATGAAAAGAGGGCTTCAGAAAAACATTTAGTATCACAAAGAGGAAAAAGGGATAACAACAACAACTTTAGTGGTGGAAGCCAGCAAAGGTGGTCCCAGTGGTGATCGGCACATTGGGTGCGGTGCCTCAAAACCTTGGCCTGCACTTAAAAATAATCAGCGTTGACAAAATTACCATCTGTCAGCTGCAAAAGGCCACCCGACTCAGATCTGCGCGCTTATTCGCTGATACATCACATCGTCCTAGACACTTGGGAAGTGTCCAACGTGTGATCCAATACAACAACCAGCATAGTGATCTTGTTTGCTGTGTACCAATCTTGTTGTGTTTCTAATAATAATAATAATAATAATAATAATAATAATAATAATAGCAAAGACTCTGGCACAAGGCAGTCAAGGTGGTCCCAGTGTGAGGCACTGCACACTGGGTGCAGTGCCTCAAGTCCTTGACCTGCACTTAAAAACAACTGGCACTGACAAAATTACCATCTGTCAGCTGCAAAAGGCCACCTGCAGGCATTATTTGTCAATACATCGCATAGTCCTAGACACTTGGGAAATGTCCATCATGTGATCCAATACAACAACCAGCATAGTGATCTTGCTTGCTGTGTACTAATCTTGTTATGTATCAAATAATAATAATAATAGTATAATAATAATAATAATAATAATAATAATAATAATAATAATAATGGGAGCCCCCAGTGGCGCAGTGGGTTAAACCCCTGTGCCGGCAGGACTGAAGACCGACAGGTCACAGGTTCAAATCCGGGGAGAGCACGGATGAGCTCCCTCTATCAGCTCCAGCTCCTCATGCGGGGACATGAGAGAAGCCTCCCACAAGGATGGTAAAAATAATAATAATGGGAGCCCCCAATGGCACAGTGGGTTAAACCCCTGTGCCGGCAGGACTGAAGACCGATAGGTCACAGGTTCGAATCCGGGGAGAGCACGGATGAGCTCCCTCTATCAGCTCCAGCTCCTCATGTGGGGACATGAGAGAAGCCTCCCACAAGGATGGTAAAAACATCAAAACATCCCCTGGGCAATGTCCTCGCAGACGGCCAATTCTCTCACACCAGATGCGACTTGCAGTTTCTCAAGTCGCTCCTGACACAACCATAATAATAATAATAATAATAATAATAATAATACTGTGATGATGATGATGATGATGATGCAGAGGGATGCAAAATGTGGTGCTGACCATCCAAAAAGGAATTCTGCCCCAAAGGTACATTTTCCTCCAGTCTGTAAATTTCTAGCGTTTACATAACTTTTGTTTTCAAAGCAGCGAAAGTGACCAGAGCAAATGCAAAAACACAAGACACAAGAGATCTAAGTGTGAACAATTTTCAGTTTCACTCTCTGCAATGCTAGACATTTAGGGAACAAAATACAATTTTAGGGACAGAATGCCTTCTTTAGGGGAGAAATGATCTCAATTCCATGTTGTGCTGTTGAAGGCTTTCATGGCCGGAATCTCTGGGTTGCTGTGAGTTTTCTGGGCTGTATGGCCATGACCTCAATTCCACCTTTTGCACACACTTTGCACATTATCTAGTTGAGATGCAATCGAGTTTTAGCTTAGCTGCAGAAAATTCCAGGTTGGGAATGAAGGGAAACTGTCGAACTACAAGTCCTAGGATTCAATTTCATGGAGCACGCCAAACTCAAGTGGTATGAAACTGCATCAATTCCTCAGTGTAGATGCCCTCCTAATGCAGCGCACCGCGATGCAAGATTGAAGCTGACTTACTGAGTGCAAGAGCTACGTTTTTGGAGTCATTGTTTGGAGAGGAGTAGAATTTTGTATCAATTTCCAGGCTCCGTCTTGTCTTCTCCAAAAACGCCCTCCTTGGCTCGAATGGTAAACAGAGAGCAGGGATCAATAGAAAAGATATGGAAATGATAAGTCTTCTCTCCCCCATGTTATACTTTGGAGCTGAAGAAAGTGAAGAAAAAATGGTTAAGTCAACAGGGTACCCGACATTTAAAAAAACATCAACGTTTGCAAAACCAGGGCCAAGAGATAAGAATCTTTCCTCCCCAATTTGCTCTATCCGGACCTGTCATTCCTGTGCAAACCTCCCTTGATACTGGAAGCATTATTGAATGGGTTAAAACATGGGCAGCCAGGGCATAAGTTCATTCCACCCCATATATCATGTTTGAAAAGTGCCCAAAATATCTCTGAACTTCATTAATATGATTAGACGTTACCCAGGAAGAACGACGCACATTCTTGGACTAGGCGCAGCAGTTTGCTTTTGCTTGAGCCCACTGGGAAGTAACCCATTCCCGTTAGCTGAGCATGGAGAGAACTGAATAATAATAATAATATTATAATAATAATAAACCTTTATTTGTACCCCGCTACCATCTCCCGAAGGACTCGGTGCGGCTTACAAGAGGCCGAACCCAAATACAACTGAATAGGGGAAATTGAACATTTTAAAACTGGGATGACAGGCAGGTAATGGGGACTATACTGGCCAAACTGGGAATGTTTGGGGCCTGCAGGTTCCATGTTTACAGAGCAGGAGGTGTCATGATCATGATTCTGTAACTTGTGAAACCATGACTCTATAACTTTTGGGACCATGAGCCAATGTTCTATGACTTCTGGGACCAAGTTTCTACGTATGACTTTTGGGATCATGATCTGATGATTTGATAACTTTTGGGACCATTTGTGGGTCATCTGGCTAGTATTCCAGGACAGTAAATATCACTTACAGTAGTTTTTTTCCATCCTGGAGGTGGGTTGCGAGGGGGTTTCAGAGGGGTCACCAAAGACCGTCAGAAAACACATATTTCTCATGGTTTGAGGAACCCCTTTGGATGAGAAGACTGAAGATCTCTCCGCTTGTCCTTCTCTTCCGTTTTGGAAACAGATGGCAAATCCTCTCACCAATAGCCCTCCTCTGCTGTGAGTGGTAGGGGAGGGCTGTTTCTGAGACTCCCAAGTGAGGAGGGGAGAGCAGGCATGCTCAGCGCATTGCAGCATAGTGCACATCCAGGGATGAGGGAGCGCATGCACCACCAAGTCCCTTCAAGGCATGGGGGTTCTGTGTGGGAAGTTTGGCCCAATTCTATCATGGGGTTCTGAATGCTCTTTGATTGTAGATGAACTATAAATCCCAGCAACTACAACTTCTAAATGTCAAGATCTATTTCCCCAAAACTCCACCAGTGTTCACATTTGGGCATATTGAGTATTCATGCAGAGTTTGGTCCAGATCCATCATTGTTTGAGTTCACAGTGCTCTCTGGGTGCAGGCGAACTATACCACCAAAACTCAAGGTCCTGACCTGAAACAATCAGGGCCAGCTAACACCTCCCAACAAAGGATTCCCCCAGGCAGGAAGCAGCCAGGACTCGAAGCTGCAAGGCTATTCAGTGCTAATCAAGGTGACCAACTACAATATTCAAACTTGCCACAAACAGGCAAAAGTTCTTTCTCTCGCCCTGGACATCATCTTACAGATATATAAACTTCACCAACAGACCTCACAACCTCTGAGGATGCCTGCCATAGATGCAGGCGAAACGTCAGGAGAATATGCTTCTGGAACATGGCCATACAGCACGAAAAAAAAAACACACAACAACCCAGTGATTCCAGCCATGAAAGCCTTCGACAATACATTGAATATGAAAGAGCTTGCGAAACTACAAAACCCATAATTAGTATTGAGCCATGGCTGTCAAAGTGGTGTTAAACTGCATTAATTCTATACTGTATACACCAGGGATCCTCAAACTAAGGCCTGGGGGCTGGATTCAGCCCTCCAAGGTCATTTACCTGGCCCTCGCTCAGGGTCAACCTATGTATGAAACAACTTGAAAGCACACAACAACAACAACAATCCTATCCCATCAGCCAAAAGCAGGCCCACACTGCCTTTGAAATACTAATAAGTTTATATTTGTTAAAATTGTTTTTCATTTTAATTATTATATTTTTAAGTGGGATTTTTTGCACTATAAATACGATATGTGCGGTGTGCATAGGAATTCTTCTTTTCTTTTCAATTTATAATCTGGTCCTCCAACAGACTGTGACCTGGCCCCCTGTTTAAAAAGTTTGAGGACCCCTGGTATACACTGTAGACTTAATGCAGTTTAACACCACTTTGACAAATGCATACGCTTTCCCACTGCCAAGCAGCCAGAAGAGAAATGTAGCCATCCTATTAATGTAACCTTCTTGGATATTTCTTTTTCCTGGAAAAATCCTTTCCGGTTTATACTGCCGTGACTCAGCGCTATGCAGTCCTGGGATTTGCAGTTTGGCGAGGCACAAACTCTCTTTGGTCTTGGAAAAAAAGTATAGTGGGTTGTTGTAGATTTTTTTTGGCTATATGGCCATGTTCTAGAGACATTCTCTCCTGACGTTTCGCTTGCATCTTTGGCAAGCATCCTCAGGCGAAATGTCTGGACAGAATGCCTCTAGAACATGGCCATATAGCCCGAAAAAACCTATAGCAACCCAGTGATTCCAGCCATGAAAGCCTTTGACAATATATAAAAAGTACAACTCCTAGGACCACATATCATTGAGCCATGGAGGTTCAAGTGGTGGCAAAGTGCATTCGTGCCACAGTACATTAAACCACTTAAGAACCAAAGAGGTTCTAGCACAGGCATGGGCAAACTTGATTTACCTGGATTTCAGTAAGGCCTTCGACAAGGTCCCCCATGACCTTCTGGCAAACAAACTAGTCCAATGTGGGTTAGGTAAAATTACGGTGAGGTGGATCTGCAATTGGTTAAACGGTGATTCTCCCCAAGGCTTCCTCTTCTTCATCCTGGAAAGAAGTGACGAGCGGAGTGCCATCAGCAGGGTTCCCTCCTGAGCCCGGTCCTGTTCAACATCTTTATAAATGGAGTGGTTCTCAACCTGGGGTCCCAAGATGTTTCTGGCCTACAACTCCCAGAAATCCCTGAGAACCACTGACTTAGATGAAGGGTTGGAAGGCATGATCATCAAGTTTGCAGACGACACMAAATTGGGAGGGAGAGCCAATACTCCAGAGGACAGGAGCAGGATTCAAAACGATCTGAACAGATTAGAGAGATGATTGGCCAAAACTAACAAAATGAAGTTCAACAGGGACAAATGCAAGATACTCCACTTAGGCAGAAAAAAGGAAATGCAAAGAGACAGAATGGGGGAGAGCAGTACATGTGAAAAGGATCTTGGAGTCCTCGTGGACAACAACTTAAACATGACCCAACAATGTGATGTGGCAGCAAAAAAAGCCAATGGGATTTTGGCCTGCATCAATAGGAGTCTAGTGTCTAGATCCAGGGAAGTCATGCTACCCCTCTCTTCTGCCTTGGTTAGACCACACCTGGAATATTGTGTCCAATTCTGGGCACCACAATTCAAGAGAGATATTGACAAGCTGGAATGTGTCCAGAGGAGGGCGACTAAAATGATCAAGGGTCTGGAGAACAAGCCCTATGAGGAGCGGCTTAAAGAGCTAGGCATGTTTAGCCTGAAGAAGAGAAGGCTGAGAGGAGACAGTCATGTATAAATATGTGAGGGGAAGTCACTGGGTGGAGAGAACAAGCTTGTTTTCTGCTGCCCTGTAGACTAGGATGTGGAACAATGGCTTCAAACTACAAGAAAGGAGATTCCACCTGAACATTAGGAAGAACTTCCTGACTGTGAAAACCATTCAGCAGTGGAACTCTCTGCCCCAAAGTGTGATGGAGGTTCCTCCTTTGGAAGCTTTTAATCAGAGGCTGGATGGCCATCTGTCGGGGGTGCTTGGAATCAATTTTCCTGCTTCTTGATAGAATGGGGTTGGACTGGATGGCCCGTGAGGTCTCTTCCAACTCTATGATTCTATGAAACTTTGGTCATCCAGGTGTTTTGGACTTCAACTGCCACAATTCTTGACAGCCGCTTTATAAGCCAAAGAGCTTTATAGGCCAAAGCCACCACTTTGAATTATGCTCGGTAGCAGATTGGCAGCCATTGGAGCTGACGCAACAGGGGGCTTGTATGCTCCGTGTACATTGCTCCAGTGAGCAACCTGGTTGCCGCTTGTTGGACTATTTGAAGCTTCTGAACGGTCTTCAAAGTCAGCCCCATGTAGAGTGCATTGCAGTAGTCTATTCAAGATGCAAGCAGAGCATGGATTACTGTGGCCAAGTCTGACTTCCCAAGGTATGGGTGCAACTGGAGCCCATAGTGTTCCAGGCTCAGCGACGAATTCAGCATCATTCCTAAGCTGCGAACCTGTGTCTTCAGGGGGAGCGTTACCCCATCCAGCACAGGCTGTAACCTTATACCTTGTTTGGCCTTTCGACTGACCAGGAGTACCTCTGACTTGTTTGGATTCAATTTCAATTTGTTCGCCCTCATCCAGATCATCACAGCCGCCAAGCACCGGTTCAGGACCTGAATATGGACCTAAATAATAGGAAAGGATTCCAGATCTTTTTAAAAAATGGGTAGCAAAAGGATTCTGGAGAAGGCAAAAGGGGCATTTATTCCAGATGCTGAAGCTTGGTGCTCTAGAGATCCTGAAGGCACTATTTTCCTCCAAAGGAGTGCTATTGATCTCTCATTTCATGGCTTCGATCCACTTTGCAGCGGGGTCGGCTCTATATTTTCTTTTCTAGGAAGGGAGACATGAAAAGGAAGAGATAAACATCAAAGATGGAGGAATCCCATCCTTACATTCCTTTCCCGTCTGTTGCATCTGAGGGAGGAGAATTCGTACTTGTTAAAGTTGGATCTACACTGTCATATAACTCAGTTTGAGACTGTGTTATACGGTCAGATGTTTTGGACTTCAACTCCCATCATTCCGAACAGCCTCAGGCCCTTTCCTTTTCCCCCTCAGCTTAAGCGGCTGAGGGGGAAAAGGAAGGGGCCCGAGGCTGTTCGGAATGATGGGAGTTGAAGTCCAAAACATTTGGAGGGCCCAAGTTTGCCCATGCCTGGTGTAGACCCATATAATGCTGCTCAATGCCACTAAACTTCATTATAGGGGTCTATAAGGTAAAGGTTTTCCCCTGACATTAACTCCAGTCGTGTCCGACTCTGGGGTTTGGTGCTCATCTCCATTTCTAAGCCAAAGAGCTAGCGTTGTCCATAGACACCTCCAAGGTCATGTGGCCGGCATGACTGCATGGAGCGCCATTACCTTTCCACCTATTGATCCACTCACATTTGCATGTTTTCGAACTGCTAGGTTGGCAGAAGCTGGGGCTGACAGCAGAAGCTTACGCAGCTCCCTGGATTCGAACCTGAGACCTTTCGATCAACAAGTTTAGCAGGTCAAGGTTTAACCCACTGCGCCCACTCCTATATGGGCCTATACTGACTGTATAATATACTTTCAGTCCCAAAGTAGGTCCACCCAGAAGTAATAGGAACCTCAAAAGTCATGGACCGCTTTCATATTGTAGTTTGTTGGGTCACTAGAACATACTTTACGAAGCCACACATCCCAAGAACCCATAGGTTGTTAAAGTGGAATCATAAGTTGCATCTGCACTACAGAATTAATGCAGTTTGACACCACTGAAATTGCCCTGGTGCAATGCTATGGAATCCTGGGATTTGTAGTTTGGTGTCGCACCAGCAGAGAAAAAAAGGAAGACGTTGTGAATCTTCAGTTCCCACGTTTGCATAGTATATGAACTGTTCAGCAGTGGAACCAAGAAATGAGATTCCATCAGAACATCAGGAAGATCTTTCTGACTGTGAGAGATGTCCAGCAGTGGAACTCTGTACCTCGGAGTGTGGTGGAAACTCCTTCTTTGAAACAGAAGCTGGATGGCCATCTGTCGGGGTGCTTTAAATGCGGTTTTCCTGCTTCTTGGCAGAATGGGATTGGACTGTATGGCTCACGAGGTCTCTTCATAGAATCCTAGAGTTGGAAGACACTTCATGTGCCATCCAGTCCAACCCCTTGCCAAGAAGCAGGAAAATTGCATTCAAAGCACCCCCGACAGATGGCCATCCAGCCTCTGTTTAAAAGCATCAAAAGAAGGAGCCTCAATCACACTCTGGGGCAGAGAGTTCCACTGCTGAACAGCTCTCACAGTCAGGAAGATCTTCCTCATGTTCAGATGGAATCTCTTTTCTTGGTTCATGCAGACTTCTAGTAATACCTGGTATGTTTACATCAGAGTGTTCATCCTCAGAAGGGGAAAGCCCCACTGCAGTGGAATACCCACAAGTATAACTTTGAAGCCATTGTTCCATTGCGTCCTAGTCTCCAGGACAGCAGAAAACAACCTTGCTCCCTCCTCCCTATCAGTTCCTCTCACATATTTATACATGGCTATCATATCTCCTCTCAGCCTTCTCTTCTTCAGGCTAAACATGCCCAGCTCTTTAAGCCGCTCCTCATAGGGCTTGTTCTCCAGACCCTTGATCATTTGAGTCGCCCTCCTCTGGACACATTCCAGCTTGTCAATATCTCTTCCAACTCTATAATTCTATGATTGTAACTATATTGTTTGTATGTGTGTCGCACAAACAGAGTCGGAAACCTCTGAGCCTTTGTGAAATAGGCAATAAATATTATATTTTTAAAAACAGAAATGAAAAGTGTTCATGAAATATGTCGTGTTCCCACATATTTCGTTATTACAATTTGTATCTCTTATACAGGGTTGGTTTTCACCTCTGTTTTGGTAGCAAAACCGAATGTGTTGCAAAGTGTGTCACTACACAAACTGTTTGGCAAGTCCTGCTATATTGGATGCAGAGAAGAGCAAATTATATGGCAGCTGCTTACTTTTTGTTCTCTCCTTGGCAGGTACAAGCACCTGTAAAAAAACAGCCAAAGAGGACAGAAGTCAGAAAGTATACTTTTTTGCTGTATTTTTGGTGTAGTCTTCCCAACGTCAACATCCAGAAATGTCACCTTGCTCATATATGTGCGCAAAGGCACATGCTCTGTGATTTTGGACACAAAAACATGGCCACAATATATCAGAGTGTTACCAAGATGGCAAAAGTTATTCCTAGGGAAGAACACAGAAACTAGGAGAGGCTGCAGCAGTTCGTTATTGCCTTAGTCTCCAGGAAAGGGCAAATATTGGTTTTGGATCCTATCTGGAGCCAAGCTCTCCATTGAATAAATACAGAAATATTCATTATTTTGAAAGGTATACATTTAACAGGACAAAGGAGAGCCTTTAATGAATAAATACATAAATAGACACCTTTGCAGAAGCATACGAGAAGCTTGGCCTGTCATTAAACATCGAGAAAACCCAAGTGCTCTTCCAGCCAATCCCTCTCCAATGCCAGAGATACAACTTAATGGTAACATTAGAAAATGTTGACCATTTCCTTGGCAGCCACCTCTCCACCAAAGTCAACATTGACACTGAAATTCAACATCGCCTGAGCTCTGTGAGAGCAGCATTTTTGAAGTAGAGAGTGTTTGAGGACCAGGACATCCATAGGGAGACCAAGGTGCTTGTTTATAAAGCTATTGTCCTCCCAACCCTGCTCTACGCCTGCGAGACATGGACTGTCTACAGATGTCACATACAACTTCTGGAACAATTCCATCAGCGCTGCCTTCGGGAAATCCTGCAAATCTCTTGGGAAGACAAGTGGACAAATGTCAGCGGGCTGGAAGAAGCAAAGACCACCAGCATTGAAGCTCCTCTGCCATCAACTCCGCTGGACCAGCCACATTGTCCGGATGCCCTACCACCGTCTCCCAAAGCAGTTGCTCTACTCCAAACTCAAGAACGGAAACCGGAATGTTGGAAGACAGGAAAAGAGGTTTAAAGATGGGCTCAAAGCCAACCTTAAAAACTCTGGCATAGACACTGAGAATTGGGAAGCCCTGGCCCTTGAGCGCTCCAGCTGGAGGTCGGCTGTGACCAGCAGTGCTGTAGAATTTGAAGAGGCACGAATAGGTGAAAGAGAGAAATGTGCCAAGAGGAAGGCGTGTCAAGCCAACCCCGACCGGGACTGCCTTCCATCTGGAAACTGATGCCCTCACTGTGGGAGAAGATGCAGATCAAGAATAGGGCTCCACAGCCACCTACGGACCCACTCCCAGGATACTACTCTTGGAGGACCATCATCCTCAGACTACGAAAGATCGCCTAAGTAAGTAACATAAATAAATACTCTGCCCTCTCCTCTCTCGTCCGCTCATACTGCAGGTGCATCTAATGCATATGGAATCCTGAAAGTTGTGGTTTTAGCCTTCTCTGCCTTACCAAACTACAACTCCCAGGACTCTATAGCATTGAGCTGAAAGTGGTACCAAGCTGCATTCATTCTGCAGTGTAGATATGCCCTCCGAGTTAGTGGAGCGCAAATGAATTCAGGTTGCAGCAACGGAAGCAAATGGGGGACAAAGGTGGGAGGAGGGGAAAAACTTGGGACATTCTGAAAGCAGGTGGAAAAATGGGACAGCAATGGAATAATGAGGACTAGATCTCTGCCAAATTAGAGCAGTTTAATGGTGTGGTGCTGACTGAGATATTCAAAAGCTTCAGACAAGATGCTCGTTGTTTTGGCTCATGTCGCTAGGCAGCTTTCCTTTGACTCCAGGGAGTTTTTACAGACACATATGTCTCCTTCTCTCTCCATGTCTGCGCTCAGCACATGTTAACCCATGCATAAGGAAAGGAAGATCTTCAAGTCGCATGCAACTTCCCTTCCTCCCCTGAAGGCCTGGGTTGTGTTTACGGAAGCCGTGTCAGTCTGCATTAGATCCCCCAAACTAGGTCTTTTGAGGAGAAAACATTTTATAGCATTGCTGTTTTAGAAATTAAGACATAAGATTTTTCAGACATCGGTTAATTTTTCCATCTTTTGCGAAGAAATCCCATTGAAACAAAAGGGAACTCTGCGCATGCCCTTGGAAATCAGGGATCAGGTTTGCTCTGAGAAGATTGGATGAATTTTCCCCATTGCTTAACAAGTCTGCTCTCACCACAATATTGAGGATAAAGGAAAGAAAGAAGGGAAAGAAAGGGAAGGTGAAAAGTATGAGAAAAGGAAAGAGAGAGAAAGAGAAAAACAGGAAGAAATAAGGGAGGGGAAGAAAGGGAAGAAAGGGATGGGATGGGAAGAAAGGGAGGGAGGGAGGAAGAAAAACGGAAGAGAAAGGAAAGATGGAAGGAAGAGAAAGAAAAGGTGAAAAGTACGAGAAAAGGAAAGAGAAAGACAGGAAGAAGAAAGGGAGGGAAAGAAAGAAAAAGAAGGGAAGGAAAGGAAGGAATGAAGGAAGGAAAATGAAAGAAGAGCTAAGGAAGGTGAAATGCAACAAAGGGACTGTCTAGTTCTGCCTTGGAATATAGGGCAGTGTGGAAGGGCCTTGGAGATGGATGAAAGGGAAGAAAGAAAGAAAGAAAGAAAGAAAGAAAGAAAGAAAGAAAAAGAAAGAAAGAAAGAAGTATGGAAGCAAAGAGCAAAGGAAGGAAGGAAAGAGGTAGAGAAGGAAGGAAGGATGAAGAAAGAGGAAAATGAAGAGAAAGGAAAGATGAAAGGAAGACAAAGGGATTGTGAAAGGTATGAGAAAAGGGAAGAGAGAGAAAGAGAACAATAAGAAGAAGTAACAGAAGAAAAAGAGAAAGAAGGGGAGGGGAAAAAGAAAGAAGAGATGAAGAATGAAGAAAACAAAGGAAGAGAAGGGAAGTATGGAAGGAGGAGAAAGGGAAGGTGAAAGGTATGAGAAGAGAGAGAAAGAAAGAGAAAGACAGGAAGAAGTAAGGGAAGGAAAGAGAGAGAAGGGAAGGAAGGGAAGAAAGTAATAAAGTCAGGATGAAGAAAGAGGAAAACAAAGGAAGAGAAAGGTAAGATGGAAGGAGGAGAAAGGGAAGAAAAGGGAAGAGAGGGAAAGAGAAAGATGGGAAGAAGTAAGGGAGGGAAAGAAAGGGAAAGAAGGGAAGGGAAGGGGAAAGAAAGAAAGGATGAAGAAAGGAAAATGAAGGAAGAGAAAGATAGAAGGAAGAGAAAGGAAGGTGAAAGGAATGAGAAAGGAGAAGAGAGAGAGACAGAGACAGGAAGAAGTAAGGGAAGGAAAGAGAGAAGGGAAGGTAAAGAAGGGAAGGAAGAAAGACAGGATGAAGAAAGGAAAACGAAGAGAAAGGGAAGGTGGAAGGAAGAAAAAGGGAAGGTGGAAGGTATGACAAACGGAAGAGGGAAGGAGTAAAGAGGGAAGGAGTAAAGAGAAAGAGAAAGATGAGAAGAAGTAAGGGAAGGAAAGAAAGAGAGAAGGGAAGGTAAAGAAGGGAAGAAAGAAAGAAAGACAGGATGAAGAAAGAGGAAAACAGGAAGAGAAAGGAAATATGGAAGGAAGAGAAAGGAAGGTGAAAGTATGAGAAAAGAGAGAAAGAGAAAGACAGGAAGAAGTAACAGAAGGAAAGAGAAAGAAGGGAAGGGGAGGGAGGAAAGAAACAAAGAAAGAAAGGATGAAGAAAGAGGAAAACAAAGGAAGAGAAAGATGGAAGGAAGAGAAAGGGAAGGAAAGAAAGGGAAAGAAGGGAAGAGAAAAGGAGGGATGAAAGAAGGGACGAAGAAAGGGATAGAAGAAAGTAAAAGAAGAAAACACCAAGGAAGGAAGAGAGAGAAAAAGATGAAAGGGAGGGAGGGAAGGAGGGGAAGGAAATAAGAGAAAATGGTATGTGAGGAGGGAAGGGAAAAAATATAAAGGAGGGAAGGAGTAAAGAAAAAGAAGGGGAAGAGAAGAAAAAAGAAAGAAAGAAGAGGAGGGGAAACATATGGGGGAAAGCAAGGAAGAAAAGAGCAAGGAAAGAAAGAAATAGCCACCAATATCCAGCCAATGTTGGTTTGAAATAAAACCCTCACCCACTACGAAATGGTTATTTGGGAGAATAATTTCAAAACAGATTGAAAATAGTCATAACACAAATAGCAAATGGCGTCATGGAGAATTCTCCCTGTGTTTCACACTCATGCGGTCGCAAGCCAAAGGGTTTGGGGTGACTTACACAGCTGTTCTTCCAGAACGTAAATATCATCTTGCTGGAAGGAAAAGAGAGAGAAAGAAAGATGTTATTCGGGTAATTATAGACACTGGCATTTCCTAAACACCTTGGCAGAGACGGCGCCCATCTGGAGGAAAGGGCTGATTTCGGCTAGCGAGGGGGGGCCAGGCCATTTCTTCATGTTTTCTCACCCAAATGCCTGCAAATCCATTTTTTAAAGTCAGTTTTAAAAGGCAGTCTATTTGGGCTCCCTGGTGGGTCTTTTTCCTTGCCAGATTGAAAACTAGGGGAAACTGAGTCGCTCGTAGTTTGGTAGACGATGACACTTTGGCCGTTGTTCACCTTTTTACCTTTTTTGCACAGGAAGAAATGCCTGGTGCAATTACTTCTGTTGCAACACCATTGAAAATACAGGAGTCCTTTCATAGAACCCTAGAGTTGGAAGAGACCCCAAAGGCCATCTAGTCCAACCCCCTTTGGTCAGACAGGAAGGCATCATCCAAGTCCTCCTGACAGATGGCCAGCCACTCTCTAGTGAATCACAGAATCCTGAATTACAGAATCCTACAGTTGGATGAGACTCCAAAAGCCAACTAGTCCAGCCCCCTTTTGCCAGGCAGGAAGGCACCCCCAAGCCCTCCCAACAGATGGCCAGCCCGCCTCTACTGAATCATAGAACCCCGAAACACAAAATCCTAGAGTTGGAAGACACCCCAAGGGCATCTAGTCCAACCCCCTTTTGCCACGCAGGAAGGCACCATCCAAACCCTCCTGACAGATGGCCACCCAGCCTCTACTGAATCATAGAATCCCGAATTACAAAATCCTAGAGTTGGAAGACACCTCAAGGGCATCTAGTCCAACCCCCTTTTGCCAGACAGGAAGGGACCATCCAAACCCTCCTGACAGATGCGATCCAGCCTCTACTGAATCATAGAATCCTGAATCGCAAAATCCTAGAGTTGGAAGAGACTCCAAAGGCCATCTAGTCCAACTCTCTCCTGCTAGGCAGAAAGGAACCATCCAAGCCCTCCCAACAGATGGCCATACAGCCATCTGAATAATAGAACCCCGAATCACAAAATCCTGGAGTTGGAAGACACCTCAAAGGCCATCTAGTCCAACTCCCTTTTGGCAGGCAGGAAGGTATATACCATCCAAGCCCTCTTGACAGATGGCCAGCCACACTCTAGTGAATCATAGAATCCTGAATCACAGAATCCTAGAGTTGGAAGAGACCCCAAGGGCCATCTAGTCCAACTCCCTTTGGTCAGACAGGAAGGCAGCATCCAAGCCCTCCTGACAGATGGCCAGCCACTCTCTAGTGAATCACAGAATCCTGAATCACAGAAACCTACAGTTGGATGAGACACCAAAGGCCATCTAATCCAACCTCCTTTTGCTAGGCGGGAAGGCACCATCGAAGCCCTCCCAACAGATGGCAAGTCAGTTTCTACTGAATCATAGAATCCTGAATCACAAAATCCTACAGTTGGAAGAGACCCAAAAGGCCACCTAGATGAACCTCCTTATGCCAGGCAGGAAGACACCACCCAAGCCCTCCTGACAGATGGCCATCCAGTCTCTACAGAATCGTAGAATCCTGAATCACAGAATCTTAGAGTTGGAAGAGACGCCAAAGGCCATCTAGTCCAACCCCCTTTTGTCAGGCAGGAAGGCATCATTCAAGCCCTCCTGACAGATGGCCAGCCACTCTCTAGTGAATCATAGAATCCTGAATTGCAGAATCCTAGCGTTGGAAGAGATCTCAAAGGCCATCTAGTCCAACTTCCTTTTGTCAGGCAGGAAGGCATCATTCAAGCCCTACTGACAGATGGCCAGGCAGCCACTCTCTAGTGAATCACAGAATCCTGAATCACAGAAACCTACAGTTGGATGAGACACCAAACGCCATCTAATCCAACCTTCTTTTGCTAGGCGGGAAGGCACCATCCAAGCCTTCCTGACAGATGGCCAGCCAGTCTCTACTAAATCATAAAATCCTGAATCACAAAATCCTAGAGTTGTAAGAGACCCAAAAGGCCACCTAGATGAACCTCCTTATGCCAGGCAGGAAGACACCACCCAAGCCCTCCTGACAGATGGCCAGCCAGTCTCTACTGATTCATAGAATCCTGAATCACAGAATCCTACAGCTGGAAGAGACCCCAAGGGCCATCTAGTCCAATCCCCTTTTGCAAGGCAGGAAGGCACCATCCAAGCCCTCCCAACAGATGGCAAGTCAGTTTCTACTGAATAATAGAATCCTGAATCACAGAATCCTAGAGTTGGAAGAGACCCCAAGGGCCATCTAGTCCAACCCCCTTCTGTCTGATAGGTAGACCCCATCAAAGCCCTCCCAACAGATGGCCATCCTGCCTCTGCTTTAAAATCTCTGAGACAAGGGGACTCCAAGGCAGCGTGTTCTACCATCACATGGCCCTTACCAACAGGAAGTTCTTCCTAAACTTTGGGTGGAATCCCTTGTGTGGCATTTGAAGCCATTACTCCCTTACGCTGCATGGAAACGAGCTTGCCCCTTCCTCAATGTGACATCCTTCCCAAGATTTAAACATGGCTCTCGTGTCCCCCTTCGCTTTCTCTTCTCCAAGCTGAACCCCCCTTATCTCCCTTAAGCCACTCCCCAGAGGGCTCGGCTTCCAAAACCTGAACCATTTTCATCATCCTTCTTTGGACATGTTCGAACTTGTCCATCTCCTCCTTGAATTGCTTTTCCCAGACTTGGACAGAGTCTTATTGCAAGTGACTAAAGCGGAATAGAGTGGCTTCAATCTGCCAAGCCTAAACCAGAGTGCCTCCAAATACCTTTATTGCAGTGATTGCATGGTCTCTTTTCTCTCCAGCATTGTGTTACAATTTATACATCTTTTAAAAAAAGATAACTTCAAGGATACTATTACTCTGCTTTTTTTTCTCTTTCAAAACCTCTCTAGATCTGACACTAGAGGATTTAGAGTGTATCAACATCTTTATTAATGACTTAGATGAAGGGCTAGAAGGCATGATCATCAAGTTTGCAGACGACACCAAATTGGGAGGGATAGCCAAGACTCCAGAGGACAGGAGCAGGATTCAAAACGATCTTGACAGATTAGAGAGATGGGCCAAAACTAACAAAATGAAGTTCAACAGTGACAAATGCAAGATACTCCACTTTGGCAGGAAAAATGAAATGCAAAGATACAGAATGGGGGACGCCTGGCTGAGAGCAGTACGTGTGAAAAAGATCTTGGAGTCCTCGTGGACAACAAGTTAAACATGAGCCAACAATGTGATGTGGCGGCAAAAAAAGCCAGTGGGATTTTGGCCTGCATCAATAGGAGCATAGTGTCTAGATCTAGGGAAGTCATGCTCCCCTCTATTCTGCTTTGGTTAGACCACACCTGGAATATTGTGTCCAATTCTGGGCACCACAATTCAAGAAAGATATTGACAAGCTGGAATGTGTCCAGAGGAGGGTGACTAAAATGATCAAGGGTCTGGAGAACAAGCCCTATGAGGAGCGGCTTAAGGAGCTGGGCATGTTTAGCCTGAAGAAGAGAAGGATGAGAGGAGATACGATAGCCATGTATAAATATGTGAGAGGAAGCCACAGGGAGGAGGGAGCAAGCTTGTTTTCTGCTTCCCTGGAGACTAGGACGCAAAACAATGGCTTCAAACTACAAGAGAGAAGATTCCATCTGAACATGAGGAATCACAGAATCACAGAATCAAAGAGTTGGAAGAGACCTCATGGCCCATCCTGTCCAACCCCCTGCCAAAGCAGGAATGTTGCATTCAAATCACCCCTGACAGATGGCCATCCAGCCTCTGTTTAAAAGCTTCCAAAGAAGGAGCCTCCACCACACTCCGGGGCAGAGAGTTCCACTGCTGAACGGCTCTCACAGTCAGGAAGTTCTTCCTCATGTTCAGATGGAATCTCTCTCTTGTAGTTTGAAGCCATTGTTCCATTGATCTCTCAGGAAGAACTTCCTGACTGTGAGAGCCGTTCAGCAGTGGAACTCTCTGCCCCGGAGTGTGGTGGAGGCTCCTTCTTTTGGAAGCTTTTAAACAGAGGCTGGATGGCCATCTGTCAGGGGTGATTTGAATGCAATATTCCTGCTTCTTGGCAGGGGGTTGGACTGGATGGCCCATGAGGTCTCTTCCAACTCTTTGATTCTATGATTCTATGATTCTACACTGTAGAATTAATACAGTTTCACACCACTTGGACAGTGACTCAAGACGACGGAATGATGGCAAAGTCCCTAGCCTTAAACTCCCAGGTCGCATCTACATCTATATAAATAAAAATGTAATGTTTGTTTGTGGGATTAACATAACTCAAAAACCACTGGACGAATTGGTGTCAAATTTGGCCACAACACACCTACTAACCCAAGGAGTGACTGTTCTTTCTCCCAGGAGCCTGGTTTGCCTACCTTTCAGCTGTTTGAGGCTGCTTTCTTTTGCATTTTGTCCCAGGGCTGCTGCAGTTTGCAAGAGCCCTAAAGGTTAATAGTAGCAGGTTTGCAAGGCCAGTCTGCAGGCCTCCTTTGCAGATATTGGCCCAGAGAGTAACTTTTGAGCCCGCCCCTTTTACCAGGCCAGACCTCCATTTTGGAGTCCTCTCCGCCTGTTCAGTTCTGAAGAAGGAATCTGATGTGCTGGAGGAGGCCAGAAAGGTAGGTCTGACAAAACCACCGCAAAAACAATTGAGAACTATTGAAAACAATTGAGAATAAGCTTAACTGAGTTACAGATAGGAATTGAGAAGTTTATTGAGCTATAGTTAGATAGATTATAAGAGAGTTATGGAGTGGAAAGAAGAATAGATATTGAGCTTTGAGAATTGAGTTTTATAGAGTCTTATAGAGAGAGAGACTGCATTGCCTTATCTCCAAGGCTAATCTGGAGCTTAGAAAGATAGGGAAAGATTTGTTCTTTCTAAAAGACAACAGCTCTGGATTAGGGTGAAGGATTCCCGGATCCCTTTGCCACTTGGGGAAAGGCTGACTCAGTAACTGGTGGAGAAGAGAAAGAAGAAATATCTATTTGGTTTATCAATTGACTGTTCTGTTTGCAACTTTGAGAAATAAATATCCTTTTTTGATGTTCA